GGGAGACATAGGTCAGTGTAAGACATGACAAAATAATTATAAATTATCAAGGGTTCATGAGGGAGAGAGGGTGGGAGAGGAGGAAAATGAGCTGATACCAAGGGCTCAAGTAGAAAGAAAATGTTTTGAAAATGATGATGGCAACCTATGTACAAATGTGCTTGACACAATGGCTGGCTGGATGGATTGTGATCAGAGCTGTATGAGCCCCCAGTAAAATGATTAAAGCAAAAGAAAAGAAAATGGGGTTCCCAGGAAGACTGTCAAAGACATCATCTGAGTAAATCACGTGTGATTCTCTCCCGAATGACCGTTTCCCAGTTTGGAGCCCCGGCACGATGGAGCACAGCTGCTTTCTGCTCGCTGGGTCTTGGTTTTCTGGCCTTTCACGGCACCGTGTTCTCTCCTGGCAGATTACAGGACCGGCCCGTGCTTTACCGTGGTCAGCAATCAGATGTGCCAGGGACAGCTCAGTGGGATCGTCTGCACCAAAACGCTCTGCTGTGCCACCGTGGGCCGAGCCTGGGGCCACCCCTGTGAGATGTGCCCCGCCCAGCCTCACCCTTGTCGCAGGGGCTTCATCCCCAACATCCGCACAGGAGCATGTCAAGGTAAGTGCTGAGCCAATAGCATGAATGATCCGTGGATTAATCTTATTGGCGGTGCAGAACTATGGTCCATCGACGTTGGAAAGATTCACAGCAGCCCTGTCAGGGGCGCAAGTTTCACCATTTCGCTGACTGGCCATGAGAGCCAACTCAGGCATTAGGAACCTGGCACACTGGCGAGTAGCCAGGGGCTTACTGGGCTTTTCCTGGCCTGTGGGCAGCTCTCCCACGGACCCCAGAGGGAGCTTCAGAAACCTCTGGCTTCAGGGTGGTGGGATGCTGGGGACCACAGCACTGTGTCTTACAGTGACTCTGTGCCTGAGCATGCAGACCCATTGATGAAGACGGGAGTTTATGCTTTTCTCGTTTTCTGTCCCTTCCTCTTTAAGCCCGGCTGGTGGAGTTCCCTTGTTTCCTGCGTTGTACTTAGCTGACCTGAAGAAAATTGTTCCTCTCACCATTAACATGCAACCCTTTGCATTTTTTTTATTAACAAGTCAGAAATAAATTAGGATTTGTTTCACAGTTTTAAATAGCCCCAGATGTCGCCTGCTTGCTTCTCCTCCTGCCTCCCCGAGAAAGCCTGACTGTGTTTTTGGCTTTTACTCCTGTTCTTCCAGCTGTACAAATTCTTTTATTGTCTGGCTGTCTGGCAGGAAGCAGGAGGAAGTGTACGGAGGCAGCTCCTCACTAAACTGATGGGCTTGAAAACTCCCAGGCTCGGTCTGTTTCTTTAGCCGTCTTCGGTGCTTTTTCAGCGAGGTCCATTGTTCTCTGAAAATGCAGGCTGTGTTTTCCCGAGGCAAACAAACAACAGTTTGGTGTTCCTTTTACAAGTTCATCCTAAGGATAATACACAGTCAAACATAACTCGAGCTTAATCACACAGTTCTGTGGGTCTCCGTCAAGTCTCACATCAATAAATACCACTTCAGATAAACACGTGGGTTCTGGCCCTTGGCTACCACGTCTGCCGTGGTTCTCTGCATGACCCTGAACTTAGCCTTCTGAATGTCAAGAACAGTACGAAGTCGTTTTGAAGTCCTAGAATTCTAAAGAGTTGGCCTCGAGGATTTTATAATATAAAGATTACACTTAGTGCCTCTTTTGCTTCAGTGCCTCCTTGTCTTCCTGGTGGGTCTTGTTCAAGAGTGTGTTGGCGTTGGTGCCCTGAACTTGGCCGATGCCCAAGAGCTCACTGACAGTGACCTGAGCGCCAGACTTTGGGTGCCCAGCTGCCCATCAACGAGCCATTGTCAGAGGTCAAGGTGGGAACAGGATTACAGGGAGCGGGTGGACAGGAGGGGAGGAGAGCTGCTTCGCTTTAGTTGTGCTGTTTACTTCAGACAGGCTGCATACTTCTGGCATTTTGCTTCCTGACAACGTTTTGCTGCTATTCAACATCCAAGAAGAATTTTTTAAAATATGAAATTAAAAAGATCAACTCCTCCCCCCTGCCAAAAAAAAGCCCATACATTGAAAATGACACATTACTAACACTTTTTAAATGAAAAAAATGTTCATGCTTGTTTTGCTTTGGAGATCCTCCCAGCAGGCTGGGTTTTGTGCTTCCTGCGGGTGCTCCGGTTCTGGGCGAATCGGTCCGTATGGAGCTTGCTCTCCGGAAGCACTCTCTCACCTGCGTCTCCTACTGACTTAAAGGCCTGATCAAGGAGCCCACCGAGTTTTGCTTATATGCTAATGGCCACTAAGCAGTCAAGTAAAAGTGTAATTTCAGCATATCGAGGGAATGGAAAATTCCAGTGCAAGACAAAATTTTAAATCAGCCAAAAGCCAGAATCTCATTATCCTTCACATCCATTTGTGGGTTGGGAGACGCCATTTCCAGCATTAAGTGACACTGTCATGCAAAATCAATCGCTGTTCCCTTCGGACCGCTTTTCCAGTTTGCTGACTTCCCTCGGAACTCAGGCGACTGGGAGTTTTCACAAGCCGCGTAAACACCACACCAGCTCCCTGCAAGTCCTAAAGAATACGTGAAGTAGAGAAAAGTGAGACACTCTGCCTGGTTGTTACCAAGCCACACTTTTGTAGGATGTCGAGGAAGACCTGGAGAGACTATCCATGGACCCTGACAGTCTTTCTAGCTGAACAGAAGGTGCTAGAAGGCATTCCTTTTTAGACTAGTGTTTCCCAAAGTGGGTGATACCTCTCACTGGGGTGGGGGTTTGCTTTGGAATGGCCCACCGGTGCCCCTAAGGGGGGACAAGGAGACAGGCTAAGAGGGTGATAAGTGTTAGGGGTGAGTGTTGCTGTTAAGTTGGACAGAGAGGCCCCGCTGCCCATGTGTCCTTGGAACCAGGGACACAGCAGGATGTGGCCCAGTGAGCCATCCGAGCAGCTCTTTTCCCTGCAGAGGGAGCAATCATGGCCAAAATCCTAAGACAAGTCCAGTCTGGACTCTGAGGGACAGCAAGGAAGCCATGGGCTGGCGTGGAGTGAGAGAAGGGAAGATTTTAGGAGATGAGATCAGGGGGTTGGTGGGTCTTCTGGAAACTTCCAGGACTTCCATGAATTGGGTTTGAGCTGGGAGGAACTGATCTGACTTCCGTTTGAGAAGGTTCCCCTCGGTGATTGCGCTGCCAGCAAGGTAAGTCTGCAGCTGAAGTGACACATCGCGACTTGGCCTCATTTTCTATTTTGCTTCATTTTACTGCGTGACAGCAAACTCTCTGGTATGTAAGAGGGTCAAAGCAAATCTACAGAACGAGAGATGGTCATTTTCTATTATCTTTGTTCAAAAGCATTAACTGCCTCAGGTAGACTCAGTGATCTTTAAATAAATGCTGTTTCTACTGAGCCATTCCATGAAGCTTTGAAAGAGAATTATTTAAAACAGGACAGTGTGTGTGGCATTCGATTCCAAAGATTTCTTGGATAACTCTGTTGGGTTATTATTGTCAAGCTGGAAATTAAATCAAACCAAAGTACCAACCTCACTGCCATTGGGTCAGTACTGGCTCACAGTGAGCCTATAGGAATGAGTTGAACTGCCCCTGGGGATTTCCGACCCTGTAACTCTATGAGAGCCGAAAGCCTGTCTTTCTCCTGCAGAGTGGCTTCTAGCTCCCAACCACTTACCATGCGGTGAACAGCTCAAAGCATATCCCTGTGCCACCATTAATGAGGCAGTAAAATAATCCTCTTTTCCCCCATCGTATCCTTATAATTTTGCACCATAGTAAAAACTCAGAAAATATTCTCTTCTCTATAGGGGAAGATGGAAGATGGAAAAACAAACCACAGCTTTGATTTCTTATAGGAAACTATTGACTACGTTATGTTAATCAAATTATATGCTATCGACGCTTGCATAAAGTATGCACATATAATTCATAAATTGCATAATGCAGCCCTGAGAGGTGCTTGCTCTCATCACGCTCCAAATATTATGATAGACACATAACCTATTAATATGAACACTATATGTGGTGGACTAAAAGTCCGATTTTCTTCTGTGATGAAGTTTATGTAAATTGCTGTCTCCCTCTGTCTGTCTGTCTCTCTCTCTCCGGAAATCTGACAGATGTGGATGAATGCCAGGCCATCCCTGGACTCTGTCAAGGAGGAAATTGCATTAATACTGTTGGGTCTTTTGAGTGCAAGTGCCCTGCTGGACACAAATTTAATGAAGTGTCACAGAAATGTGAAGGTAAGAAATCTCATGCTGTTTCGTTGTGGGCAGGATGGAGGGAGGCAGGGAAAAAACTCACCATCCACAACAGGCCTTGCTCGCAAACTGTTTCTAGATGCTTCTGTCTTTGTTATATCCACGGATGTTTAAATATAATACTCTCACCAGGAATAATATGCCTTTGTATTATTGAACCAGAAAAACCCTGCAGCTTTTTCCACTTTTATAGGCCCCAAATAAGAGGTACATCTGAAGCAAATTAAATATTAAAACAAGAAATATTTTTCAACCAGTATTTGGTTTAAAATGTTCAAGACACATGTTTCTGCCCAGCTTTAGCGACACGAATTTAAATCTGATCATTAAATATCATTCAGAATGATGCTTCTGTCTTTTCTTGCTGGAATGAATGTTTGCTTTTGGTGAGGAGAGATCTATTATTATCTCTTATATGGGTGTTCTTGGTGCCAGTTTGTGAAGTTCTTTTCTGGGGCTAATCTATTCCTATCAGATGGAAACCTTTTATTGTTAGTCACATTAGAAGCTAACTTGCGGTGAGTTTTTGTGTTCGCGCTTAGCTGATAGATCGAGCTGCTTACAATGTGGTATTTGTACAGAGGACAGGCTCATAGTCACCACTATTGTGGTTTGCTCCCTCACCCCCATCCCCACCCCCACCCCATTCCCATCCTCCTAAAATTGCCTGGCTCCCAAGTGCTCTCAGTCATCTCGTCCTGAGAGGGGATGTCCAGGGAGCAAGTGGGCATTACTGAACTCTTTTCTTGGGTGAGTGCATGGCCCTGGCATGTGGAATGTTCGGCAGTACAGTGGCAGCATCCTGGGGGCTGCATCTCTGATGCACCTCAGAGAGGAAACCTTTTTCAGGCTCCACTCGAGTGAGTGTGGTTTGAGGTTTCATTTCACTGAATGCACTTTTTATTGGAAACAGGGTCCACTTTTTGATTCTGGACTCTAGCAACAAAGAGCCCTTCTTTCAAGGTCATGTGCGTGGGTTTGGCTCCTTTATCTTTCTTGGTTGACCACTGTGGTGAGTCCAAAACTATGGCCTCGATGGTTCCAGCTCATAGAGCCACGAGTTCATTCCAAACAAAATGTGTCTGAAGTTGTCTCTGTGGTCAGGGAATGGCTGCAGACAAGGTCTCTGGGAATGCATTTGCCTTCTTCTTGTTACAGGATGCCTTGGACAAAAGGGTCTCATCAAAACACTGACTTCCTAGAGGATCTGCTTAGGCCAATTAAATTCAAGGCAGGGCGGTCACTTCAGAAGGTTATGGTGATTGGGGTTTTTTGGGTGCATGGGCGGGGGCCAGGTGGGATTCCCAAGGGGTCATCTTTATAGATTTTTCTTGAAGGACCCAGGAACACCATGGGCCTTATTATGAGGAAGGGTTAAGAAAGCAGGAAACTGCATTGGTGAACGAAAGATGGAAGTCTTTTCGACAATGCACCTGCTTATTCTTCGAGAGTAACAAGGACAGTCCTAGGAGAATGTTGTTGGGAAGGAACTCTTACCTTATTTACCCATCAGCCTTAACCTTGCCCCTTCAGACTTCTTTTATTCCCCAACCACAAAGAACACAGAAAGGGAAGACTGTGCAAGTCTCCTAAGGTTGCAGGAACAACTTCTTGACATGCTGCCAGGCACATGGAAGAGCCCAGAATGCTTTGAGGCTGGGGCAAGAGAAGTGAAAACCTCTTCAGAAGTGTGCAGGGCTAGAGGGAAGACCTATCTTGAGGACTGATTGTTTCAGGCTTTGGTATTTTTGTTTAATAAAGATTGCGATGCTGCTGTAGCAAGACTTTTTGACTTACCTTTGGCAATACACGATGGTTTTAAATTTGAACTGCAATTAGTAAATTACTTATAAGAAGTGCATGTATGTGTGCCCTGACACTGTAGACTCTAACTTAGAGTTGGGGTTGCTTCGGGGTTGTGAAGCACTAGAGAATTTACCATTTTATTGGATTTTAAAATACATTATGAGGACCCCCAAGGGTGCTGTGGGGTAGTGGTTACAGAGTTACTGCCTCAGAAACTTTATCTAGTCAGAATCAACCGGCTGACAGTGAGTACTTTGGCTTGCTTGAAATCTAAGTTAGAAGCAGAAGATACAGAAACGGCCAAAGAATTTCCTCTAATTCCACTTTTTTTGCCTTCACATTTTCAGTTGAAGCACTGTTCATAGGTATGTGAAGCACCCTGTAAGAGGTGCTAAAATTCCCATCTTTGACTCACCTTCTTGAGTTCTTTCTTTTAGAGCACATTGTCTTTGTATCTGCTTGTCAGATACTAGCTCTACTTTTGTTTTAACAACTATTTCCTGATATTTCGAAATATTTTAAATGTACACACAGATTTCCAGGCATTGCCAGAAATTTTTTTATGACATAAACTCAGTAAGCTATTAAATTGATCACATGCAACATCTGTATCATCAATGGTTGCTGCATCTTTTAATTTTAGGGTTCAGCATGAAGAGTTATATTCGGCAGCATGGTCCATATGATTTGGCTCACCTGTGTTTTGTGTATTGGAACGAGATGGCCTTCAGCATGACCTTGAATTAGTTCCTTGCCTCTCTCGTTTGGCTCACACTTGTAGTTATGTCAATCAGGAAGGCTCACCATCTATGCATGTGAAGACACAGAAGACACAGATTCAGTGCTCAAATGGGAAAAAAATTAAAATCATTTTATTGATGCCAAGAAATTGATTTTGGTGGAACACACAGTGGACCAAAAATATGGTCTTAGGTACAATTATTTATCATTCTTGCCCATAAATACCTTAATTTTTTTTTTAGTTGGCCTCTGAAGTTAATAGCAAGATTTTTTTTTTAAAGAATACATTTGCTTAGACTGGTTTCCCTTGTCCTCTAGTGTTATATAAAAGTCAGATGATGGTTTTCCCCCATTTTGCGATGCAAAATTGACATTGGAAGAACATGACCTGTTAGTACGAACTGCTGGCCTGGGAGTTAGTTTGGGTCTTGTTGATCTGTCGTAGTAGGCATGCCATCAGCCAGTGTTCCGAGAACTCTTGGTGAGTTGAGCCTCCTCCTTCAGCTCCTTGGCTTTCTTTCAGTTCTGGCATCCTCTATGGAAATGTGGAACTCTGGAAGAGAAAACAGTCTCTAGACGATGGATAAAAGGAATCTCAGAAAATCTGCTGCAAACGGCCCAGAGAATCAAAAGATTGTGTTTGTGTCCTAGGGAGCTGGTCAGGCTGCAATGGGACTCTGTGCTTGCATGGAAATTGTTCTGACCCTTCTGCTATTAACTGCAGTGTCTTTAAGAATATGTCACCCTCCTGACTATGAGACAAAGGAATTAGGTACCCAGAGGAACATACTCCCTGTAAACAACAACAACAACAAATTGGTTTTGTTGAACATTCAACCAAATTGGTTCTAGCAAATTTATAAGATATTAACCTCAGATGTAAGGTTTTATTCAAAGTGCTTTTCATAACTTCCATTTTCAGACATTTCTCTTCCTTTCTAAAATTGTACCGTTTTGCACAAAACTTAAAAGCAAATAAACAAACAAACAGAAACCGGTGTGGACCAAGTTTTAAATACATTTATGTGAGGTGCATTTAAAAGGCAGCAGAGATTAAATACCAATGATGAAGTTTTGGTAAATTTAAGATGAAAAAGATGGAGACGTACAGCTGTGATTTGAGAAAAGGGGCATGGGAGTTCACGACCCACCTCTGCGGTTGATGTTTCCCATGCCTGTAGAGAGTTCACACCTAAAGACCACAATTGCCCTTTTCCTGGTGAAAATCAGACTCATATTTGCCTCGGTTACTCTGGGGGGAGGGCAATGAAGAAATTTTAAAAAAGTGTAATTAAGAGATTAAGTTTTATGTATGGAGCAGTCTCTTGGATTCCTAATTAACCACAAACATTTTGGGATTTAGATGATCACCAGCCTAGCTTTAGCCATTATAATAGACTGCATGATACAAAAACCTTGAACAAATAAAAGAAAAAAGATGTAGGTCTTCACTCTATGAAGTTACTAACATATCAGTGGAAACATTTCAGTCCTTCCCTCTTCCAGAATAGCGGTGTATTTATCTAAAGGCTACGTGCTATTCGGGCCCTTGTCCTCTCAGCCACCCAAGAGAATCCCTATGATACTTTTAACCCTTTGCGACAGCTGGGGTGCCAGACTTTGCAACCACTTGTAGACCCTCAGCTCACACTGATGTAGCCGCTTGGTTGAACAACAAACTCTGATGCAGGCAGTAAAGAAAGGGAGACAGGAACCTGGCCCTAGTCTCCATGGAATATGGCCTGCGTTGGAAGTAGCTTGTTGGCATTTGGTTTCTTTGAGGGGGGAAGGGTGCAGGGGTTGGGGGTAGGAGGGCTAGTCTGGTGGCGTATACGTTATACATTGGGCTGCTAAACCCAAAGTCATCCATTCAAAGCCACCAGGGAAAAGATGAGGCTGTTCTCTTCCACCCAGGTTGAGTCTCGGCAGTCCCGGGACACAGGTGTCCTCTGCCCTCCATCAGGTAGCTCTGAGTTGGAGTCAACGCCATGGCAGCGGGCTTTTTACCTAGTCTTGGCAATGCCCCTTGTCCTCTGGGCGAACTCGGGCCGGGCAGTCGTCATCTCCGAGTTGCTTCAACTTCCAAATGAGTTCAACAAGATGATAGCTTAGGGTTCTTTCCTTTCCTACAACCCAGACTCTCCATCTTTATATTTGGAATTCTTTTCAAGTTGTGACTCTGAACGCTGGCCCGCATCCTGCGACGGTAAAATAATATCGCTCGTTTTTTCTGTACATGATTGGAACAATCTGCTTGTTTTCTTTTTAGTCAAGTCACACATTTTACACTGAATTTAGTGTTTATAATCAATAAAGTCAAGTTCACAGGGAGGGAAAGGGAGCCAATTACCATTGCCTCTTCTCAACTGAAAAACCAAAAACCTCCTGCTGTCAAGTCTGTTGGGACGCATAGTGGCCCAAGGTCCCCTCAGAAAGTGGGCGAAGCCACAAACAGCTACCAAGAAATAGCGGTAGGATGGGCTAGAACTGCTCCTGTGGGTTTCCAAGACTCTAAATCATTATGGGACGAGAAAGCCTCATTTTATTTCCTCCAAGTGGCCGGCAGTTTCAGACTCCTGACCTTGTGGTTAGCAGCCCAATGTGTAACCCAATATGCCATCAGGGCTCCTAGGAGGTTTCTAGAGTGCAGAAATAGATAGCACGTCCCAGCCAACATGCAGCCCCCACCAGTTCTCCCAAACAGATAAATATTTATGACTGGCATTTGGCACAGGTTGACATACAGAAACTGAGAAAGCCTCACATTTTCTCTCACTTTGGATTCCTGGAATTCTATCTACAGGAAACAAGTACATAGTGGTAAGGGTATGGAGAAGCAATAAATTAGTATGAATGAGTTTCAGAGAACATGTTCTGGTCTTTTACTGTCGGAGAGGCTAGCCTTGTGCTAGGAGCACTTGGGGCTTAGTGTTTAGGGTCAGCAGTTGGAAACCACCAGCTGCTCCTTGGGAGAAAGACGGGGTTTTCTACTCTTGTGAAAATGTAAACCTCGGGAACTCACAGGGCAGTTCTACCCTGCTCTAGAAGGATTGCGATGAGTCGGCATCAATTTGAAGGCATTGACCGAGTGAGCCTTTTCCTATGAGCAAACAGCTCTCATAATCATCCGCTAACCAAGCAAGAGGCTGGAGGTTCATGTTCACCGAGAGGCATCTGGAAAGAAAGGTCTACTTGTGAAAGATCGTGGCCATTGACAGCCCTCAGAGCACAGATCCTCTCTGACACCTGATGGGCTCACGGGGAGGCAGATGCAACTGTACGGGTTTCCTCTCAGAAACATGGTCATGGCATCGGAGCGCCTGCTTTCATTGCTGGTCAAGCAGCAGGACCAAGAGACGGGGGGTTCAAGAAAGTAGAGGAGAAGTAGACCCCTGAAGGGAAAAGGGTATGCTCTCGAGGAGGGAACATTAGGGCAATTCCAACTCATCAGATATGCTTCTTCAAATTTACCTCGTTGGTCTATTCTAGTTTCATTGTGTGAAAATTAGTATGTAGTTCCTGATCTTGTTTGGGTTTAAGGGCATGCAGCGAGGTACAAATGCTTTTCGTCTCCTTCCCTGAAACCCTTGCTAATAGGGGTCCTGGATTTAACCCCATTTTATAAGGTTCCTGGGTGGTGAAAATGTTTTGTACTTTACTGCTAACGAACTGAAAGATTAGCAGTTCAAACGCACCAGAGAATGCTTTAGAAGGAAGAACTAGCGATCAGCTTCGGTGAAGATTACAGTCACAAAACCCCATGGAGCAGTTTTAGTCTCCAACACTTAGGGTCACCAGAAGTCAGCAGGGGCTCAGTGGCAATGAGGTGTTGTTGTTGTTGCTCGGTTTTTCTAAATGGACAGATCCGGTGTTTTTTTACTGTTACCCAGACTGGTTTTCAGAAGGCCTCAGCAGCAGGCCAGGTCTGTGCCAGCCTCCGCCCAGTGCATAGAACTCAGATTCAAAATCATGCCTGTACTGTGAGGATTCCAGGAATTAATGTCTACGCAGCATTTAGACAGTGCCTGCCACTCAACCCGTGTTTGCTGTGATTCTTGTTGTTGTTGCTATGAGGGTCTTAGCAAAGGGCCTGTCCAACCTGGTGCCGGACCAGGCCCGGCTTCATTGTGTTGTACACCGTGAGTTGGAACCAACTGCGCAGCACCCAACAGCACAGCGACCACCTTGACAGGGTGTGAAAGATGCTCCCCCATCCTCCGAAAGTTGATTGGGTTTTCAGGACAACTTCTTTTGGTCGATACTGCTTCCTAACTATCCAAGACCCAAGACCGTTGCCAATGGATATACGTTAAAAAGCTAATAAAGATATTAACCGTCATTTATACTAACGGGATGAGAAAGGATTTTAGCAGCATCGTCTTGCATGATCCTTGACAGGTCCAAATATTAAATTTTAGAGATACTTACAGAAAGGTCCATTCTTTTTAATCTCTCTATTTTATCATTATATGAGAGGATTTCAAGCAGTTTGTAGAAAAATTCCATTATCATTTAATTCCATGTTTTCCAAGAACATTTTGAAGTCCCCTTGTAGCTTCTTTTATCTTTAACTAGGCTGGCCATCCCTGATGTCGTTAGGGACCCCAGAGTCTATTTCGACTTAGAGTGCTCCCATCCCACAGGGTGTCCTAAGCTGTGAGCGTAGAGCAACAGACCACCAGATCTTTTCTCCTGTGGGGCAGCTGGGTAGGGTAGAACTACTGATCTTCCAGTTAACATCTGAGCACTTACCCATTTGTGTCACCAAGGCTCCTTATCCAGTTCTGTAGGCCCCTTGCCATATATATATATATATAGAAGTAGGATGTCCAGTTCTGTAGGCCCCGTGCCACCAGGCTTCATGTTAAAGGCTTCTCTTCAAATATGTCTCCGGATGCTCTGTGAACTCCAGAACCGTAGCCTCTCTTTGTTGGCTGCTTCTCTCCCTGACTCTTTCCCTCACTGCGGTGAGATTTATAGCTGTCAGAAGAGAATATGCACCTTTACCATTACAAACTTCACGATGACAATGCTGTTTATGTTCGCGTTGACGATAATGTATGCAGTGAACTCTTGTTTAGTTTAGCCTCAAGCCTGGGAGAGAAGAGTGAGGATTTGGCTTTTAAAGTGGTTAAACTGCATGTAAACAGTGTCAATGCTGCCTTCTGTGACTAACAGGGTGAACTTGAGTCTGAAGATACTTGAATCTGAATCACTGATACTCCATTTTGTTTTACAAATTAAGAGCAATACTTAGATGGAAGCAGACCTGTTCTTGTTCCCCAGTCTTGCGTGAGTCCTTCAGCGTTCTAACAAAGCCAGCCAGGCCACTGTAACACTCCCAGGAGGCGTGGGCCAGACCTCACCTCACCCTAAGGCAGTGTTAAGAAAGCCTTGGTCTTAGAGATGAGCCCCTGCAGAACACCTGGACCCCGAATCAAGTGTCGTGTCAGCAGGAAGTTTCTAGGCTTCCCTTCCTAGGGCCGCATTTATGGACAGGGATCAATGTTTGAATCTGTTTTGGGGAAGCTCTCCCTGCAGAAAACACTCAGGTTTGTCCTAGGGGACTTCTGTTTCTTAGGGGCAACCAGTGAATTCTGGCTTGAGGGAAAACCTCACAGAATTCTGGTACTTATGAGGGGCTATCCTTGGGGGCAACACCTGCAGGGAAAAGAGGAGGAGCAGGGATATGCAGTCAGAGAAGAAAATCCCAAAGGCAGTGTCGCAGGACCCCACAGTTAATTTTCTTCAACTGAGGCAACGCCCCAAGGGACGGAGGTGCAGGGGCTGGTGGCTAGTGGTTGTCAGTGCTCCCCGCAGCTGGGGCCAGAAGTCCTTGCTTGAAGACAAGGCTGTGTCGTAGCTCCCAGTGTCTCCCACAGGTCATTGATTGAACCCACAGGAAGCCACCACGACAGTAGTTCAGAGCTGCTGAGAGCACCAGGGAGGCACTTCCTCCCCTTAGGGTGCTCACCCAAGTTGGCCAGGTCTTGTGCGACACTCATCCTGCAGGGTCTTCCCTGAGGACCTTGGCCACGTCAATCACTCAGGAGTCTGGATGAGTTTTAGGTTGGCTACGTTGCATAAGGAATGGTTCCTGAGAAGGTTGAATGACCAGCACTCTTTGCCCATCATATTAAGTGACCTTAAGTAAAGTCATTAATAGAGATGACAAGGCAAAAGCATACTTTTTATTCATATGTACGAGTCACTTAAAGTGCAGTTTACATGGGTTGGATGAAATAATAACAAAAGAACAAGAGGTAACAGCCCACTAAGCTGAAGTCATCCATGAGAAAGACGGCCGATGGCGCCTCTGTGACTCTTCTGTGCGGCACTGGTGCCATTGACACGAAACGTGGGACTAAGGGCGCTACAGCCCTCTTTTCTCCTAGGCAAGACTTTCGGTGGAAAAAATTAAGATTCTGTGCATAACCAACACATAATTAGCCTAGTGCCACACCAAGGAGGGTCAGTTCATCAACTTAAGCGGGTCTTATTTTTCAAGTAGATTTAATTAAAGAAATTAAGAATTCGGTTTCGTACTTGAATTGTATTTTGTTTTACATTATTTTGACAATGACATAAATAATGAACTTTGGGGTTGGTAGTATTCAACATAGTAACATAGACATCTTGATTCAGCTTGCTTATTCAGGTTATAGAGTTATACTGGATTTTTTCATCTGAAATATTAAAATATGATTTTTTAAAAACTTTTGGGTTCTGGTATCTATATTGTGCTTTTATGCCTGCTATCGCTCATTTCGATTTTAGGGAGATTATTTATATGAGAATGTTACAGAAAATCACCAGCTAACTGGACGCACAGTAGAAATGTGAAACAGTAAAAGCATCAATATTTAATTTCTTCGTGAGCCTGAATGACTAAGAGTGGGATGCACAGAAGTGGGAAACTCAGCTACCAATAGAAGTTTTGTCTGCTTTCAAAGTATCAGGAGCTCTTAATACAAAGGGCTTCAAAAAGTTTGTGGGAATATTCCACTATCTTCCCATTCCATTTTCCCACAGACTTTTGAAGCCCCCTGGTGCACCATCTGGCTCCCATGGAAAGAGGTTGAGTGCTCAGCTGGCTGAGCCTCTGGGCAGTTTGCACTCAGCTCTCAGCTCTGGAGCCTCGTAACCCCCTTTGGTAAATCTGTGTTGAAAGAAGCAGCACCACCTTCTTGGGATTGACCATTGTACGTGTAGCTTTGAATCTGTACAGGTGGCTGCTTCAGGGATGTGGTTGCATCGGCATCTGGTGGTGATGATTGGCTTCCTACTGTGTTCTACAATCGCTTCTTCCTGTTGCAGATATTGACGAATGCACCACTGTTCCTGGAATCTGTGATGGGGGCGAGTGTACCAACACAGTCAGCAGCTACTTCTGCAAATGCCCTCCAGGATTTTACACCTCTCCCGATGGCACCAGATGCGTAGGTGAGTTTGATTACAAACGGGCGCAGCTTGTGTAAGTCCCTTCCCTTATGACTATCTTTCTAACAAGTGTGCTAGGGTCGGGAGGAGGGGAGGTGGGAGGGCTTGACGTAAAAAGAAATGTGAATTTTAAATGGCTGTGCCTTCTCTTCAGGAATAGAGACACCTTGTGGTCTTATTTAGGGATTTTTGCTTCCCTGAAAAGAGGGATGTTCCAGGAGACTCCACAATGATCCTTGCCTATCAACTAACGTTATAGTTCCATGTGTGTCGAACCTTGACCTTCATCCCTAACATTTCTCTTTTTACTCCCTCCTTTCATTTCCTGTGTTCATATGGGTCTGAAATGTCACAGTAATCTCTTCATTGGTCTCTCTGTTTCCTGCCTTTGCTGCCATGCAGTGTCAGATTTATCTTCCTAAAATAGTGCTTTGATTCAATAACTCCTGCTCAAATACTTCTGGTAGTTTTCCGTTAGAACTTAGAAGTTCATGGTGTTAAGCATCTGTCCCCTGAGTCCCCCAGGTGCTGTAAAGAGCCTCCAGGCCTACTAGGATTGAAGAGGGGCAATGAGGGAGGGAGGGCTGGGTGAATAGATTCAGGCTCCCCTCCCTCACTCCAATGATGACGATTCCACTCCCATCTGCTGTGAATGTTAGGTTTCCATGTGTAACATTCATTAGCTAAGGAGTCTTCTTGTTTGAAAAATGGATATGACAGTTGCTGGATTTAATGATTGTTAAGGATTCCTTTAACTTGATAATCTTGCTCCACGGGAGAAAGATGAGGCTTTTTACTCCCATAAAGAGTTACAGTCTCGGAAACCCACAGGGACAGCTCTACTCTGGAGTTCCAGGAATAGTAGGGACGAGAAGGACCCTGAAGACTATCATTTAAGACACCCTTTAAACTTGGAATGGAAACTCTCAGAGGCCGATTTTCAGCTAAATCATAAATTGGGTCCTAAAATAAACCGCATCACCAGTGAATACTGAGCACCTGTAGAAAATCATTTGCATGAAATCAAATGATCGACATTTACCGAACGCAAAGAGGAGAAGGTAAGGGAGCAGGGGCTGGGGTGCCAGCCTGCGCTGCCAGAGTCCACTGTCCCAAATCCTTCCATTGCTTCCACCAAACTGCACCCTGGATGCAGTCAACTCTTGCTGCCACCCCACCCCCCGCCCCCAGGCAAGCCTTGTTTCTCTTTCCTTGGTGTGTGTGTGTGTGTGTGTGACTACAATGAACATCTTGTCATATGAAATGATCCCAATGATCTTTCTTCCTTTCCCCGGTGCACTTTTCTGCCGTAGTAAACCATTGATTTGGCTCTGGTCACGGTTTGAAACATTGCCCAGTCTGGCTCTGTCTTCATGGTCTTTGATATGTTTGGATCCGTTTTTCCTTAGAGAGACCCCCAACTCCCTATTTATCCCTATTGATAAGAAAGCACTTTCAGTCCCCCATAGAGGCATAAATCTGAGGCCCGTGTCTCCCTTGGTTGTCTGGGTTATTAGTAGATCTAACAATAGAAACTCTTATCACATGCCACTAGCTATTCAAGGATGGCACACAAAAAAGTATTGCTTGTAGGGTTCTAGTGAATAGGTTCACAGTTTTATGCCAAACCACAAGTAATTTAAACATATCTCTGTGATCAATCGACGGCCACAGACAAGTTCTCTTAGTAGTATACATATCTTAGTCTAATTAGGGGGCCTTCCCGAAAAGGTCCAATCAAAATGTGGCTTGGTGGGAACTGCTGTGCCAGCTAAATTCAAGGCAGTGAGATCCGCTCAGAAGGCCATGGTGATTGCCTTTGGGGATTCCCAGTGAGTTATGTTGATAGATTTTTCTCTCGGGATCCAAGTTGGCCATGGGAACTGAAGATGAAGAAGTTTTCAGAAAATAGAAAACTGCATCTGTGAGAAAAAGGCCCGGAAAGTTATGATGAATAATTTCTTTTCCCCATCAGGAAAATGAACCTGCTCCTTATTTGCAAATAACAAAGTTTTCTATGCCCTGGGAGAATTGGTTTGAAATCGTACCTCATCTACCTGGCCCTGATCTTGCCCCTTCAGAATTAGTTTTCACATCCAAACTCAGAGAACATTGAAAAGGCGTGCAATGTGAGGTCCCCGTAGATGCCCAAACTCTTGATTCTCTGTAATATAAATTGAACACACAGGATTCTTTGAAGGGAAAGGTGAGAGAGACACCACTTTCAGAACTGTATAGCTCTCAATAGAGGATGTATCAAGAAATCATAACTTTATTTTTGATGTTTTTATTCAATGATGATATTTCTGGTTTTGTAGCAATCCTTTTGGTCTTAGCCTCCTATTATCACTCATTTTCATTTCAACTATGAAGATCCATCAGGATGCCCTGTGCCTAGTTTGGGCCCCCAGAGCTACTAGCTCATGGTTGGACTGTGAGTGATTGGTTAGCTTGTGGATACGCTGCAATAACCTTTGAAAGCCTGGATAATCCACAATATATTTTTCCTAAAGGAGTTCTAGTGGTGTGTGGGATAAGGACTAGGCTGTTCACCAAAAGATCAGCAGTTCAAACCAACAGCCGTTCTGTGGGAGAAAGGTGAGGCCACCTTGGAAACCCTAAGAAGCCGTGGTGGCAACGGGTGTCCTCTTTCTTGAAGCAGAGGGCCACATCTGTCTCCTAAAGAGCACTGGATGGGTTTGAACTGCTAACCTTTCCATCGACACAAGCTGTTAACCACCGTGCCACCAAAGCACCTTAGTAAAACAGTGGACATCGCCAGTTTGCTAAATAATCGCCATTATCAGCCCCTGGAGAATTTGCCATGGGCAGTCGTAGTCCTTGGGTCCTCTGAAAGATCGCTTGTGCTGAAAATCATATGCACACGTTTCATGATTTGCCTCAGTGTCTGCACTAGGTTGTGATCACAAAATTCATTGGAAGCTGGGACTCTAGCCAGTTGTGAGCATCTCTTCCCATTCCAACCAACTGTGGCGTTCAATACGTACAGCGTTTACTCCTTTTTGAGTATATAAAACATTACCAGCTTGAAAGAAATGTAGGTTCGAAGGGAGAGGGCGCTGCAGTTTCCACTCCTCTGCCTTCTTCACAGAGAAACCAGGTCTTCGCCGCCCCTCCAGCCCAGGTGTCCCGAGCAGGCTGCAATAAACCCGGCGACCTGTTCGCTGAGACTTTTAGTCTGACCAGAAGTACAGGGACTTGAACCAGAAACATTTGGGGGGAAAGCACATTTATACTTGCTCGTGGTTTTAAGTACTTTTCAGAAAGGATTTTATATCCTTCAAAGCTGACCCATCATTTTATTTTATGGTTTGTTTAGGTTTGCGTTAGCCTTCTTCCCTGGGTGCTAGCATTTTGAATACTTCCAAATGAATCTCGCTTTTATTTTGTAATTGATTATGCGCTGATTACATAGAAGATAGTTATTCTCATGTTTTTGTCAAAAGCTTAGATTTTAGACTGGTTAAAACAATCAACTGCTAAGTCTTTTTTTATTATTTTTTAACTCCTTGTTTAAAAAATGCTTTTGTGCACTGTTTCATGTTGATTGGTAAATGAAAGATTAAAAAAACCCAACACCTTTCCAGGCCCTGTTACTCCTAGTAAGTCAATAACAGCTTGGTTTTGCAATATTTTGCTTAGTTTTGTGCAAAACATAGGATCTTCCATATCTGGTTGTATGCTTCTGACTTGGGATATACAGAATTCTATTTCTTATATATTTTTTCTCTCTTATACATGAGAACGTTGTTCTGTGTTCATACCTAAAATTAATAGCAATGAGGATAAAAGCTAAAACTAAAATTACCGGACTCTCTCTGTGACAGGTACTGCTCTATCCATTTTATGAATATTGTCTCATTTGATCTTCAAAACAGCCCAGTAAGAGGGGAACCCTTATGTTATCCATACCATTTTACAGAGGAAGAAACTGCGTCATGGAAAGGGTGCTTAAGATAGCTTAGACTGACACAGTAGTGTCCCAGGTGCCCCACTTCTACGGTCTACACTCTCAGCCATTACACTACACTGTGGGATAGTCACATTTCAATGCACCCAGTCCTCACTTAGCAACATGGTTAGGTTCCAAGTATCAGGTCATTATGCAAAATCAGTGTTAAGTCAGAGTTGGTAACTGTGCCCGTCTTCAGTGCCAGTTCCCACTTTCCAGAAGGCTCACAGATGAGCTGAAGATGATTGTGGGTGGTCCCATCCTTACTTCAGCGTGGTGGAGCTCATGTGGTTGAGAATGGTGGTAGTGGTGGTTGAGTGTTGCCCTCAACCCAGCACCTCCTTATGCCCACGTGGGGGCCAGAGGGACTCCACTCATCCGCCACCTGTCATTCCTGCTGCCCACTGCCTGCTTGGGCAGACACCCTACTTGTCCTCCATTGTCCCTGCTTCATAGCCCCTCGAAGCCTCTCTCTACTTCCCACCTCCTCCTGCTGATCTCCTCTGCCCCTTTGAGCCCTCCCCTGACCTCTCATTACCGTCCCACAACCTGGCGTCAGTCAGCCATTGCCCTACTTTCTCTAATGCTGTTCAAAGATGGCCTGGACCAATAAGAGATGGCATCCTGTGAGTGGTCCGTTGCCATTTCTGGGGTCTTGGGTATATCACTCTGGGTGGCCCTTGGGGAATGCTCAGATCTCATGTAAGGCTTGGACCCTCAATGATGCTGCCTGAGAAAAATTTTTCAAATTTGTTTTGAGTTTACACTGTCAGATAATGAGCTCATAGACAAGTGAGGAGTAGGCGTAGATTCATTCCGTGAAGATGTCCATAATAACGAATTTCAAGGGTAATGAGCATTTAAGGTAAGGATCTTCAGCTTTTCGGGTGTAGTAACGGTGTCTCCTATCAATTAAAGTGCTCTCAATTGCAGGCTCTGCATTTTTAGGTGTGATGTTGACGAGCTTTTCGACATTAGCGTTTGTGAGCCAACTTGATGTCTAGTATTCAGACTTACAAGAGGGATGGATATTTGGCTAAAAAAAAATATCCTCCACTTTGCAAAAAGACTTACGGCTATATTCCTATTAACTTTTCAGAACTCTATTTTACTCTACCTACACAGCGATAGATTTAACTGAGAGCAATAGAGAGATAGGCTGTCAGGTAGATCAAGTTTTTATTTGTTATTTGTATGGTGCCGCTTGCCTCCTGTATCTCTCAGAAATCTATCAAGTGCTCTCAAGAGACAATGCATGCCTCCTTTGTCACGGACACTTTTGGTAGCCCAGAGTTGTACTGTAATATGTCAAGTGTTGTCCTGACAGTCAGACATGACGTAATCCAATAAAAGTGATGTATGGAACTGTCTCTGACATGTTGCTTTGAGAAGATACCTTTCTACCCCCAAAGAATTCTTCAAGACCTGCTGGGTTTTATTGGCCTAAGAACTTAGGATCATGTACATTTTGATCCTGTAAGTAATTCGTTCCTTCGAAAATCCACGAGGGCTTGAAAACAAAAGGAAATGTTGATTAACAAGCATTGGATCTGACTGCAAAGTAATTCATTCCTTTACAGAGAAAAGAAAAGAAAATCTAACGAGTCTGACTCACAGTTTCGGACAGAAAAATAAGAAAGTTCTTTTTCAAAATGTGGACTATAGCACAGACTTAATGTTGTTTTAAAATAGATTTATATCAATATTTGCCTAAAGTGGCTCAAATTAAGTAGTTTGAAACCGAGGCCAACCCAGCCTCTTTGCCGCATGGAGACACGTCTTTATAAATAATTAACTGTCACCGCCAGTGATTTTCTTAGTCTCTCTTTTCCTACCGTGCATGTGGTTTTAATCATTTCTTCCCACCTTGGGTGTGGAATCTGGGACTTGAGCCAAGTGCACCAGTGCGCAGGGGCAAAAGGTGTGAGACAGGGGGTTTCTAATGGAGCATTGTTCCCCAGCAACTTCCCTTCCAGGGTGCAGAGTGTGGAGTGTGGAGGGGCCGGGGCAGGAGGGTGTGGTGAAAAGGTTGATCTCACTGACGTGGGGTGTGCCTGTGTTTCCATGTGCTCCCAGATGTTCGCCCAGGATACTGTTACACGACTCTGGCCAATGGCCGCTGTTCAAACCAGCTGCCACAGTCTATAACCAAAATGCAGTGCTGCTGTGACGTTGGCCGGTGCTGGTCTCCAGGGGTCGCTGTCGCCCCTGAGATGTGCCCCATCAGATCCACAGGTAAGACCACCCTCCCCCTGCACCCCCATTGCCTGTAGAGGATCGCAGTCCAACATCCTCCTGCCCCAAGGACACTCAGTGTGCATGAGGCTCAGGTCATGGGCACTCACGGCAACAAATACGTGTTGGAAGAGGGACTTTCTCCAGAAAAGGAGTAGGGAAAAGGGAGGCATCTATGCGAACAATGCTGTTTCCAAGTCCGACTTCTTACTTAGCTGGCTTATGACTGTGGATTAGCAATCTTTTCAGGAAGTACATGTTCCTTCCTATTCTCGTGGTATTTCTCTTGGCTCTCATCGCGTTCTCAGAAGCTCAATAGGATCTAGCGCGGCTCTCCCAGAACCTTTGGGTGAGCTATTCTGAGGACATATTTCCTCCTTCCGCGACATGGGACTCTTGTCTTTCTTGTAGCCAAGTCTGTCTCTTTTCCTTCTTAGCCTTCACTGCCTTCTCCATCTACTTCTTCTTCATCTTCCTCCTCCTCCTCTTCATGACAACAGCTCTCTAATCTGTCATATTCCTTGCATTTCTACTATTGCTCCGTGTTGGTGTACCAGCTCATTTTCCCTCGGCTGCATTATTAAGGTTGCCGCCTCACTGCATGTCTTCTCATCCTAAGCGCCTCCAACATTTTCCAGGCAGAGCTCGTCAAAGTTCAGGTTTGAAGATTATAGCTCACGAATATTTTAAAAAAAACGATATCCGTCAAAAATCTTCGCAGGATGAACAGGGCACAGCTGCCCAGTGGTCCACATCACCCCAGGTCTGCTTGTTCATGCTGGGAGCTTTATTTTCTAGTTAAACGACATTATCAAGCGATTCCTGAACCTACTTTGACCTTTTGAAATTTGTTTTTTGTTTTTTTTTAACGAAAATGCCCCACCACCACCCCCCGAAAAAAAAAGAAAAAAAAGTCTTCATGTCTTCCCACTTCAGCTCCTTCCCCTGTCCTCCCCATCCCTGCCCTGCTTGTCTCTTCCGAACTGTCTTGTCCATTAAGGACTGGCTCAGACATGGCCTAATCCGGGGACATCCCGGGGTAACCACAGCTGGAAGGTCCTTCCCTGGGGCTCTCCTGCGCTGGCTGGTACTGTTCACCCACTGCTGGGTTTGGTGGCTGTGGGTGTCCTGTGTAGCTCCGTTTTTAGGGGATACCCCTCCTGGCAGATCGCGGGCACCGTTACAGATCTCTATTCTTTTCCTAATGCTTGTCACGCTTGCACGGGACGTAGCAGAACCTGGGGTTGTATCTCATTTCTTCATTTGGTTCCTCCAAAGTACCTTTAAATCAGGGGACTTTGGGAGAGAAAATGAATCTGAGATGGATCAAGGCATTTGTGTGACGCTGCAGCGTGTGCTGTTCGCAAAAAGAACGTGGGTCAGGGGCCTGCTCACAGATGTTGCCATAAAGTTTCTGTTTATTGCTGAGAATTACATTGGGGGATTAAAGAAGCAATAAAAGAAGCTTTCAATATATTTTCCCATATAGCAAGTCATATATTTTGTCTGATTCGCTCACTGTCGAGGGGCTAAAAATATACTCCAGGCTCTTTGCTTCACGAGGAAATGATTGAGTAGGTCCCTGTTGGCAGGGACACGAATTTCCACGGAGACATGTGGCTTGGGTACCAAGAGAACCATCCTTTTAAAGTGTGTGTCAACCTAGGGGCCAGCAGCATTTGATCTGGCTTCTGCCTGTGCTGAAGACTTGAAGAGAAGAGGGGGGCTGGGGTGGATTTGGGGGCCACTGGAGGGCCTGGTGTGGAGCAGAGGAGCACAGAGCACAGTTGTGCTGTGTGGCTTGGCGGAGCGTTGCTCTCCTGTAGGTACGACTGAAAGACACACACCTTGAAATGAGACCCAAAGCCAAGTAGATGGACAGAATGAATGAATTTGCAGGTAGCTGTTTGTTTGCTCAACGATTCTGGTACCAGTGTTACAGGGGGCTGGTAAACTTACCGAGAGTGATGCTGAAAAAGGATTATTTTAGATTGATCAACTGTTTGCTCACACACACACACACACACACACACACACACACACACACACACACCATTTCTGGGGTAGAACGTGTCTAGATCAAAAGATGGACATTAGCTGAATGCAGTTCACCTCACACTGCTGATCCTGAATGGTAAAGTGGGTCATGGGATAGTTATAAAGCTGCAGAAAAAGGGAAGGAGTAGAACACGGGACTCGGTGTGACACACTTTCCTAGAGAGAGTCAGATGCAGTTAACAGCATGCGTAAAGTAATGTGACCCCTGAATTAGCAGAAGGGCCAATGGGCTATCTAGCTGCCTTTATACAAATCGTAAGGGACTTAAAAAGAAAGGCTGAATTAATGCATGTAGGCAAAGTGAGCTCCAGACTATAATTATAATGCAATTCATTCTAACATGCAGTTGATTAATTCCTCTGATGTGCCATTGGAGAGAGCCATGGTAGCATAGTGAGCTGTGCATTGTGCTGGTAATTGCAAGGTCATCAGTTTGAGCCAGCCAGTCACTCTTAGAGGGACTACTGAGGCTGGCTGCTGCTGTAAAGATGGGCAGTCTCAGGAAGCCGAGGGGGCAGTTTTACATTCTCTCCTGTCGGGTCACTGTGAGTTGGAATTGACTTGGTGGCAGTTGATTTCATTTGGTAGAATAAGCTTTGGGCAGGTTAGGTGGAGAGTGGAATTGAATCATGAGTTGTTGTGATTCTTGTCTTTAAGGACTGCGTAGTCTTAGTGGCAGAAATTTGGTGGGAAGCAGGTAACCAGGAAGTGATGGACAAAGAACACCCAGGTGATCGCTCTTACAGGAAAGATCTGCTGTGATTTGAGAAGGGGGATTGTGGCAACCCATGTCAGGGAGGCATAAACAATATATAAACCTTTTCACTGACCAACACGTACTACAGAATCTCTATGGGGTGAAAGTCCACATAAATCATAGCGTAGCAATAGAAGTTTCTGTTTGCATCGCATTAACCTGAGCTGGGAGGTCAAATATGATCAAAGAAATTTTAGATATGGACCAGAAAATAACAAGAGGGTACACGGGAGTCAACTATATTTGTTGTCACGTCGTTTTGTGCCATCAGGTGGATTCTTGCTCTTGGTGACCTCCAGGTTAGGGTACAACTGCCCCATGGGACCTCCCTGGCCAGATAGCCAGGCCTTCCTTCCTCGGGGCCAGTGTTGAGCTCAGGCCACTCGTCTGTTTGTTCCTTGCTGACTGCTTGCTCATTATGCTCCTAGGGCTCCTTCAAATAGTTTTAGCCACATGGCAATCGGCAGAATGTCCCATGAAATTGGAATGTGAATGCATTTCAATAAGAAGCATTACTTGTCTCAACATAAGTCCAAGTTTAGTCCACAGTGAAAAAAATATATGCTGACCTAATTTCTAGTCCTGGAAGGAACTGGAATAGAAAGTCTTTATGGGCGAATCGTTAGGTGATCATGATAAATTCTCAACATCGTGGCAAGGAAGGAAAAAAGAAGTTAAACAATCATATGGCTATTTCATTGCGCCCATTAGTTAGTGAAACCAGAAAAAGAAGAAGCAAATACATCAGTGGAAACCTGGGATACTGTTTAAAAGCATCGCTCCGGGAACCCGGAGAGAAAATGTGGTCCAAATCTAAGCAACAGTGATGACGTGGCATCTACAAGTGAGGACTGTGCTTCAGCAAGCTCTGCCCGTTGGCCGTCCGTGAGATCCGCGAATGGTGGTGCTCGGACGCAGCTTTCTGGTTTGAAGAGTTGTTGGATTCACAGACTTTCTCTCAACCATAAAGGTGACTTCTGGGGCCTGTGACACAAATGACAGCTCATGTATTGTGCCTGCTTATGTTTTTTTTCCAGAGGATTTCAACAAGCTGTGCTCCGTCCCTATGGTACTTCCGGGGAGACCGGACTATCCTCTCCCACCTGTTGGCCCTGTCCCTCCGGTACACCCTGGAGTGCCTCCTGGCTTTCCCGGACCTCAAATCTCCATCCCGAGACCCCCATTGGAATATCCTTACCCGTCTCGGGAACCACCACGTAAGTACTTAAACTTTTTGTTATCTTTCTTGCCTTAATCAGGTTAGCTTTTTGTTGTGGTTTTGTGATGCTTCAGTCATTGAAAGCCATTTACCAGTTCCCAAGTTTAATTTTTCAATTTACAAGTTTATTGCAAATACATTCCATTTACAAATACATTATACATTGCAAATACATTCTCAGTGATAACATCGCTTTTTGACTCCACCCAGCGACTCCTCCCAGCACAGACCCTTCATGTAGGCTGTTTCTTTTAGCTACAAACATCTCTCCCAGCCCCCGCCCTCAAAAAACCCGTTTAATTGGGAGCTAATGCATAGATTGTTCCATAGTTCAATCACATCAAACAGTATTGCACAATTGCTACTACAATCAGTTTCAGAACAGTCCTTTCCTTCTTTTTTTTTTACTTTTCCTTCTTGAACTCCTTGACATCATCTCCCCTTTACCCTCACCTCACACTTTACCCCTTTCCCCTCCCCCCACCCAGGAACCCTTATTCTACTTTCTGTTTCCGTGGGTTCATCAGTCTTGGGTTTCATATACCCAAAAACATAGAGCAAAACTTCAAGAGGATTACCTCTAATGAGAAAATACATCTGAGATAAACCCCAATATGAAAAACAACCCCCCCATACCAGAAAATGTTGAAAACTAGATCAGGCCCCAATGTGCATCAGAGGGGGGGTCAGCGGTCATTTCTAAGAGGGTCACTGTTATTCTTCTAGGGGTGCTGTCTGTCAATGTCACTGACTACTGCCAGCTGTTCCGGTATCTCTGTCAAAATGGGCGCTGCATCCCAACTCCGGGGAGTTACCGGTGTGAGTGCAACAAGGGCTTCCAGTTGGATCTTCGTGGGGAGTGCATCGGTAGGTGCCCTCCAGGCTGGCACAGCTCTGCCCTGTGACTGCAGTTTTCTGACGCTCCCGTACCACATCACTTCCTGTTAGTGGCGCAAAACCACTCAGATGGACTGTCTTACAATTCCCTAGATTCGAAGTGCAACACAGGACTCTCACTGAGCTAAAGGCAAGGTGCTGACAAGGCTGGGCTCCTCTGAAGGCTCTGGGGAGAATCTTATCTCCTACTGCATCTTCTGGCTTGGGGTCCCTTTCTCCATCTTAAATAACCCACAACTTCATATGGAAGACTGATTTTTGGCTTCCCTCACCCAATTAATCTCCACGGGGGCCCACCTGTCTCATTCTGTAGGGTCAGCCGATAAGCAACCTTAATTTCATCTGTAACCATCATTCTTTTCCTCATGTAACATGTGCGTGACCTGTGGGGATTGAGACGGAAGCCTAGTTAGGGTTCAGTATTCTGCGTACGACAATGACTTCGAACTTTCCTTTCCTTGTGCGAACCATTCAAGTCATTGAGTGCACTTCCAACTTAGACCTTTTTACCAAAAGCCCGATGATGAAAAGAATCCCCCAACAATGGCAATCTGTACATTTGACTGTTTTAGATAGGTGATTTGCCAACTTTCTCTAGATCACCATTCAAATCTGACAACCTCCTCCCTCCCCTACTTCCCCTCGGACCTAAAAGAAAAAAAGCCCCTTCTAATGGTTGACAAGTCGTTTAAACCAATACAGAGAGGAAATACATGTGAAAATAACCAATTGTTGGATTAAACTAAGGACACCCAATTCACATATAGGTCCTTTGGAATAAACCCACCCGTTGGTCCATTCTATTACAAATCCGAGTTCTATAGTGTTGAATCAGGCAGCCATCAGTCTCTCTTGCTGTCTTCCATTATTTAGTTTCCTGTCGATACGGTCATCCCGTCCAGCAGCACAGCTCCAGAGCTTGGTCCAGACCGGGGGACAGCAGGGAATGCAAGCCTACGGTTGGGTGATGTGAGGTTAGATCTGCCTCTGGCAATAGGAGGGATGAGACGTTGGGTCAGTGGGCTCTCTGTGCTTCCCCTCCATTTTGCCATCTTCACTAGGCAGGGGAGAGAGATCAGTTGACCGCTAAGTATAAGGATAGTGCTGAGCAACTGTGAGAGGAGTGAGAGCCTCGGTGTGGAAGACATCTGGGAACAGAGGTGGACTCTAAGGTGGGTGAGCACTGATCTTGAAAATCACTTTATTTTTTGTTCTAATGTTCTTCATGGAACTCAGCCGAAGATACTTAGACAGCATGGGAAAATAGAACTTCAAGAGAGTATCAAAATCGCATCAAGATGCAACTTCTCACACGTTAGTCTGTTTGACTCTCCTCGGTTAGATTCAAGGATGGGACAATGTCTGTGAGCGTGGAGTGTCACACTTGCTTTGAGTTTGGCACTTTTTCTCTGGAAAGTGACATTGAAACCAAGCCTTTGAACTGTTCAACTAGTCTTCAGGCGGCTAGCTGCATGATGTATTGTGGGAAGGAAAAAGAGCCGCTTCCATAAGGCTATGTATTAAGATGATATTGTTGTTTCTGTGTCAAAATGACCAATAGGCTGGTCTTAGGATTATGAGTTATTCCGATCCAAGATCTCCCTAAAGTATACTGTCTGTGTCTTTCAGATGTTGATGAATGTGAGAAAAACCCTTGTGTTGGAGGAACGTGTGTGAACAACCAGGGCTCCTACACCTGCCAGTGCCGAGCTGGCTACCAGAGCACGCTGACCCGGACCGAGTGCAGAGGTACAGTCCTGGGGTAGCGTGGGGGTGTGAGCACCCAGTGGGAGGTCTGTTTTGTAGAAGTTCAGTGACACACCAATCGCATTGCTTTTTTGTACGTCAACCCTCATGTTGTCTTCCCAAGGGCAGCGTCAGGAAGTCTAACTGACATGTGGGTTATTTTAAACTTGCTCCCATACCTGCAGGAATGGCTTGTTTTCCCTACTCTTTGGCTTCATCGCTGTTTCCCTGTTAATTTTCGATTTGGAACTGTGAATGGGGTTTTTGTTTATCAGCACAATCATGTTGAAGATGTCCAGTGTATGTGCAATAATAATATTCAATCAACTTCCGAATGGAAATGCCTATAGGTAGATAGAATAAAGAAGCCGTGATAAAGAAGTAGCCCAAGCCCTTGCAGCTTGTTAGCTTGGTCAGCAACAGCCTCACTTAGCAGCTGGTTGGAGATACAGCATCTCAGGTCCCACCTCAGACCTAGTAAGATGAATCAGCTTTTTAGCAGGACTCCCTTCAGTGACCTGTCTACATATTAACGTTTGAGAGGCGCTGCTATAAACGTCCCTTCTCAAAAATGTCTGAGTTCAAGCCACCCATCTTTTGGCGAGTACTTGGCTTGTTTCATAATGGGTCTTTTAAACTGTCCACTAGGCCTTTGGCTGGAGGGCTTTTCCGGACTGAGTTCTTGGCACACACAAAAAAGATGTACTCCACACCCTCAGGGAAGGCAGATCTCTATCTTGACAAATGTGGTTGGTGTAAGATGAACTGTCTTGTCCAACCAAGACCGAGAAAAGCGAGCAGACGCTTGGTTCAAAGCACAGGAAAAGGCAAGAAGGCTTGCGGCGCCTTCGACCAATGGGTAGCCGTTAGGGAACGTCAGTTTTTGGGTTTGGATCTTGTTTCTTGCCTGCACTTTCCAGCAACTCTTCCCGTCAGTTGGAGATACGTGACGTTTCTGTGTCGGTGAACTGAGCGAGCACCTTGGACCTTTGTGGAGACTCAGACATCCTTCCTCGTTGGCACATTGAATACACTGAGAAAGGGGCAGTTTGGAGCAGAAATAAAACAGTGGAGCATGGCCCTTCAACCCACTGTGTTTTTATTCGTCACCAATTCAATGAAGCGTAGGTCGTTTAAGGCTAGACCCTTTTGCGCGGTAGAGCTATAGTTACATCATTAGCGAGCATGGACGGCTAACTGAGCAGTGGGGTGAGAGCAGAGACCGCTCTAGTCCGTAGCACTATGGAAGGAGCAAGCAGAAGACGTGATCGGAGAGCACACAGCTGGGGAGCGGTACCGCTGTGGCAAGCACAGGTTGCTGCCGTCATCTGGGTGTTAATGGACTGAGGCTCACCTGTGAACCCCACGGACTGGCTTCTACACGAGCTGTGGCTGTCAGTTGCCCAGAAGTCAGTTCTGACTCCTGGCAACCGCAGGGGTGCCAAGTGGCACCATTCCGCTGGCTTTTCACAGAGGTGACCATCTTTCAGGTCATCGCAGGGCGGGTTCCAACACCAGTCTTCTGGCTGGTGCTTCTTTGAGGGATGCCCTGTAAGAGCTGGTGTTAAGGTTCTCAGAACAGGTTGACAGCTTGTAGTAGAGGGTAGTTGCCCTTGGGTAGTCCAGAATGCTGTGTACTGAGCTGCGATGAAGCACCGGAGGGTGATGGAGGCGAGAGACAGGAGAGACGAACCTTAAAGGCACAAGCTTTCGACGTGTCTTCCAAGGCACTGAGGAGCCAGTGGTGTTTTGCTGGTGGGGAGGAGACACAAAGCCGGACCCTTCAGCCCATTCATTTTATTCCTGGGCTTCAAAAGGATTAGAGGATGCTGGGGAAGTCTGCACAAAACTAAGTGGCTTTGTACCATCCTTTGGCGTGGGGAGCAAGTCCAATTTGAGTGAGGATTAAGAAATAAATGGGAGAGAAAAAGATCACAGGCTGTTGACACAAAGATCAGACCGGAGAAAAGCCCAGACGACCACAACTGGCCCAAGTACTCCTGTGGAAACCGCTGCTGCATCTGTGGACAGAGAACGTGCGTCTGGGGGTCAACCACAAGACTCGGTGCAGACAGTCAGAATCGCCGATGTGCTGGGGATGCAAATTCTTGTCCCCAGAGAGCGGGCCGGTGCTTGCACTCAGGCGAATGTGGCCTCCACTCTGGTTTGGGAGGCTCGCTTCCACCCACCTCTGCACAGTCCCCTTGCTTCGCTCCCTGGAGAAAAGTCCATGCAGTGAAGGGCGAGCTGGAGGAATGGCCGTGTTCTGTATAGACAAGGCAGTTTAAGTCCCATCTTCTTTGACACTCAAGGAAGCCCAGGTAATCCAGGGGCCAGCTTGCCCACCTTGGGTTGCTGCTTCTTAATCTTTAAATAAGACACTTATTCAAGTTAGTGCCCTATTTAAACACTTCCGTACCGAGCTCTATTAGTTATTTGGGACACTATAGAATAAAAGGGGGGATGCACCCCCAGGAGGGGTACTTTCTTTGGTAGGTACAATATTCACAAAACCTTCAAAGGGAAAAAGACTGTCATGATAAAATGGTGTATGGGCAGGAATCACTTATAAGGAAGACAAACAGTTCAGAGTCATGGGATCGGTGGTTTCAAAGAGAAGAGTAAGCGATGCCTTTTTAAAAATATTGCCTGTATTTCTCTTTTTGTTAAGTTATGAACTTATCAGCTAGCAGATCTGCCTTTTGAATCATAAGTTAACTTTAAAGATAAGCTTTGTCACCAAAGTGCCATGATCTATATTGGCTCATGAAATCAGGTTGGAAAACAGTGAAAAAGTTATCAATTTTTCTGACCTAATCGAGATGTAAGACATCTCCTTAGAAATTAGAGCTCACTGAAGACTACCACATCGGTAACCAACCCCCATCATTTGTGTTTCAAACTATAATTAATAGTCCTAAATAGCTCATTAGTTATTATCAGAGTCAGGTTGACTAATATCACTTAGTAATTAAAACCCAAAGCTAAGCTCTGGGTTTGGAAGTGGAGGGAGGGAGAAATCAACTCTTAGATTTCCTGAATAAAGCAGATTCTTTTTCCCTCGGACGTAGACATTGATGAATGTGTACAGAACGGCCGGATCTGCAGCAACGGGCGGTGCATCAACACAGATGGCAGTTTCCATTGTGTGTGCAATGCCGGCTTCCACGTCACACGGGATGGCAAGAACTGTGAAGGTAACGCAGCGTCGCAGGGCTCCCCCCACCGTCCTCGCCAGCGTACTTTCACGAGCTCAAGTCCAACGCTGTAGCAAACGTCGGGTCTCTTTAACATAGTATCTGGGAGTCAAGCCTCCTTTTCCATAAGATTCCTGCTCCTCCTAACTTGCCTTTTGTTCACATTTCTATGAGTCAAGTGATATTTGAAATAGACTGGAGGCGCCTGCTGTTTAAAGCTAGCCGGTGGTGATGAGAGCTTTGCAACATCTACAATTAGCTCTCATTTTACAGAATCAGAATTTTTCATTGAAAACCTAGGAGACACCTACACTCATATTACTTAGTCATTTATAATCCTTTTTTGTGTAAAGTGACTGTCTAATAATTAGAATCCTACTACCCTTGAAAACTGTTCAATTTCTTTGAGGGAACCACTGCGTGAGAGTAAGCCTTTTATATTGCCTCTTGAACGAACCGCTTCGTTTTTGAATTGAGGTGCTTCAGATATTTTTTTCCCCTTACCAGTTTTTCCCTGAACAACAACAACAACAAAAAAATAGGAATAGTACTGATGAGTTTTTAACCCCAGGGACCTTTAGCAACATTTGTAAAATGCTCCTTATCAAGTTTCCCAACGTCTTTGGGAAAGAGCCCAAGAATCTATTCATACATTAAAAGAATTTCAGAATTGTTCTTAGAAACATTTTTGGCACAATATTATCTCAGTGATTCAATTCAAAGAGTCAATGCCAAAATTCCCAGTTGGGATAGAGTCGTGCTGAAAAAAAAGAGAACAGTAATAAATTACTTTGGTCTGACTCAAGCTTGTAAGTGAAAACACACCGTGTCTAGAAAAGCGAGCGCCTCCCAAGCCAGCCTACACAGCAAAGAAAACAACCTGTTGGTGCAGGTCAAAGAAAGGAACTGTGGCAAAGGGATCCTCCAGGGGGGCTGGTCTGTCTAGAACCCTGAGTCATTGACACCAGCCGGTTTCTATGCTTCCTAGTCAGTATCGCCTGAAACGGTGGGCTGTGGCAGGGTGCAGCATAAATTCATTCGAAATCCCCTTAGATTGTATTTTGTTCTCATTTTCAGCGTGTTAGAATGGAGATGTGATATGAATCTGTGAACTAAGTCTACACCACAGGCTGTTAAGATACTTTTCTGTTAACTGCTATTCCTA